ATGAATTTGAGTTTGAAACAGTCATTTTGATCTTAACAGAATCTGAAAAGTCTGAACAATACACTATTTAGTCATGTTCACCATTTTAGTCATTTTCAGTACTGTTCAGACGGTTCCCTTGCAGTCAGTTCAGTTCTGCTCAGACAGTTCATTTGCAGTCGATTCCGTACCGTTCATTACTGTTCAGTAGGATTTTAGGCAATTCAGTATGATGTGTATTTGTACAAGTAAATATCTGCTACTGATCTGTCTGAACAAAGACTGAACGGATCTTAATTGACGCAAGAAAAACTTTCATCCTCTTTAGAATATCTGTAGAAAAACATTTATGTTTATCAAAGTTTTGCTGTGACGGCTTTCAAATGTAAACATCAATTTGGAAGTTGTCTAGAGGTCTCAGATGAAATATTGTCAAAGATTGATGTCAGAGTGGATTCAAGGACAAATCACTATGGGACTTCAAAGCTCACATTTTATTCTCGTGTCATAAAAACAGAATAAATACGTAGGAAGTAAACTTAACATGTAACGTGGTTTGCAAGTGTGGCCAGTGTTTGGATAATACAATTCACATTTGATAAATATGACATTTACAATTCAATCAAAAGACAGCGTCAGTTTCAACAGAACCAGTTTGGATCCACATATGTTTATTTCTGATGATAACAATACAATATAAAATTGGCATTTACAATTCGAGAAGGTACATCATTTAAGTTTCGAAATCGTTAATATCAACTTCAAACATGCATTCTTTGTCACTATACCCTTTTTAATGTATTTGGTCGATTCTTGCAAAACTTTTGAAAAAGTTTTTGAGTAGATCATATAAACTTTCCGTTTCTTCTATCATATTGGTATATTATCAAAGTCAATCGTTGTTTTTTAAATATGTTATTACATATTGTTTGTTTTAATTTATTATAAGAAGATTATGTAATAGAAATCAGAAGGTAACAGACTCATTGTTTACACTGACAAGTCATATGTTTATATAGGTCTTGTGCGTCGGTCATAGTGCAAGGCGATTTAGTGCCACGATATTTCAGTAGCATGAGTTTGAATCCTGGCCAGGGAAGAACAAAAATTTGCTTCCGCAAATTTTTAGATCTAACATTGTTGGGCTGTTGTTTAGACGAATTATATACACATAATGTATTTTCAGCCTTGTATCACCATTACTGCTGGTGATCCGATGGATAAAATCTGTTGTAGAGTCGTCACTGGTTCAGACGTATATATATACTTCGTCTCAATTTTAGCCCAACAATGTTAGAACTGCAAATTTGCATTAGCATTTTTGTCTGTCGTAAAGGATAATCATTTTACCATGTCGTCACATCAAATTTTGATTAAATCATATATGTCTAAATATGTGACAACTTTACGACAGACGTTCTCTATCTAATTACCTGTGGTTGTATAGGGCTAACACCATAATATATATATACTTCGTCTCAAATTGAGCCAAACAATGTTAGATCTGCCGTCAAATCAAGAAAAAAAATACATTTCATCCTTTACGACAGACAAAAACAACTGATCTATAGGTTGCACTTTGTAAATACAGCTGTTTCTCAAACCACGCCTCTTTTGGGGAGATATATAATATTCATAGATATGTTAATTCGTTAATGTGCTGGTTCCCATTTATGATCTCTGTGTTTCATCTCATAGAGACATCACTTGGGAATGTAACCAGTATAGAAAGACATGGTAGCGCCTAAATTTTAATTCTTAGGAGGTCCAAATATGAAGGTAAGGGTAGTATAGAATTTTAGTATAAGTTTAAACTCTTAGAAGTTCAGGGCATATAAATGTTGAAAATATGCCGCACAGCCCTATATTTTGACCTTTGAATAAAATAGTAGTGCATATAAACTTTCCGTTCTGGGATATTATTTTTCACGAAACTTCATAGTAAAAGTGTCACAGTTTCAGCCGCAGAGGGAGTTCCTATGGGAAATTGCATTGTCTATATTAACAGAATTGCAACCTATATAGGGTTAAAAAATAGAACATACAGAATTTCACAAAATCTGGTTTATCTCAGAGATTTTAAAGAATTTAACTCAAATATGAAGTTTTATAAATTTTTCATGAAGATTGAGAAAATCCTGAGCCTTAACTATGATGACTCAGCATAAATTCACAGTTTACAGTATGCATGGTTTACTTAAAGCCCTGAATTCAAAATAAATTCATAATATATGCCTATTTGTGATTTAAATTGTTTAGAAGTGCTTATATTTACTCTTTGCAGTCATTGCAACTCGTTGATCCTTCCTAAATAATTTTGTTATGTTATTTTTGTCCTGTCGATAACCCAAAAGTAAGCCGTAACACCTAAATGTGTTTTTTTGTGACCGCGGCATTAAAAAGTACAAGCTAGAATTACAAAAAGACCTCAATAAAACTTACAATAGTGTGTTCTATCCTAAATATATACTAAATACTCCACATTGCTAGAAACAGGGAAAATATTTAGGAAATGTGAGGCCCCAGGGGGCAAAAAACAGAAAAAAATGCCTACCCTGGGTCATAAAACAGATAATTTAACTTGTAAATGCTATGATTTTATTATTTTCAAGGTCTTTTGTAAACAAAACAATAACTGTGCTGGAAAGTTATGCAAAAATAAGATGTAAGCAGTCATTTCTATCAAACTTTTAGTGAATTTATGCACCAGACTGATATCTTCTTAAATACAATTTTGCAAATATGGCTTTGTTTAGACACTTCTAGTTCATACATTAACTAACTTATATTAGTTATATGGTTAGAGATGATACTGTTGTGACAAGAATTCTTAACTGATCATTTGAGACATAAATTGTGAACTGTCATTGACAAATAGGCATACAGTAAGATGTGGACTGGAGACACAGGCAGGATTGGATACTTTGTATAATCTTGAATGTTGGAATGATCAACTACTAAACAATACATTTATAGTATTCTAAAATGCTTTCAATTTGTTATCAGAATAGTTTCAAACATGTTTTAGACATTTCATGTCAGAAAACATGCACATAGGGTAAGCTGGCAATGATTAAAGTCTTGTTTTCAAATTCTTTAAAAAACTGAAATAGGGGTAGGGGTATAAAATGTACTGTAAAAGGAAACTTAGAGTATATGCAGTGATTTCATTAAGGCTATAATTCTGATAAATAAGTATTGTTGTGAGAAAAAGTGTTTTTAAAAGGTTTTCTATTTGAATAAATGTTTGTATAGGTTGCACTTTGTAAATACAGCTGTTTCTCAAACCACGCCTCTTTTGGGGAGATATATAATATTCATAGATATGTTAATTCGTTAATGTGCTGGTTCCCATTTATGATCTCTGTGTTTCATCTCATAGAGACATCACTTGGGAATGTAACCAGTATAGAAAGACATGGTAGCGCCTAAATTTTAATTCTTAGGAGGTCCAAATATGAAGGTAAGGGTAGTATAGAATTTTAGTATAAGTTTAAACTCTTAGAAGTTCAGGGCATATAAATGTTGAAAATATGCCGCACAGCCCTATATTTTGACCTTTGAATAAAATAGTAGTGCATATAAACTTTCCGTTCTGGGATATTATTTTTCACGAAACTTCATAGTAAAAGTGTCACAGTTTCAGCCGCAGAGGGAGTTCCTATGGGAAATTGCATTGTCTATATTTACAGAATTGCAACCTATAAGGTATACCATCTACATCGAGTGGTCTAGGGCGCTAGACACAGTGCAGACGGTGTTGCCACGATGTCTCAGATGCAGGGGTTCGAATTCCGCTGAGTAAATACTAACGTTGTTGGGCTAAATTTGAGACGAAGTATGTATATATTATGGTGTAAGCCCTGTACAACCACAAGTTATCCGATAGAGAACGTCTGTCGTAAAGTTGTCACATATTTAAACGTAGATAACGAGATGTGGTTCATTCAAATGATGTTCAAAACAAGCAATTTAATGTCACCTTAAGGCCTTCAACAATGAGAAAACGTCATAGCGTCTAGTCAGCTGTAAAAGGCCCAAACATAAAAACGTGCACAAATTTAAACAAAAAACTATAGGCCTAATTTATAACAAATCAATTTACGAAAAAACAATTATCATAATAAAAGATATAAACCAACGACAACCACTGAATTTTATGCTCCTGACTTGGGACAGGCACATATTGAATATCATGAATATGGTGGGTTGAAATATGTTTGTGAGTGTTCAGTGCTGCAGTAAATTGGGACATTGATGTAACAGCACAACCAAACTTTAAAAGTCAGTTGCAGAGGGCTCGGTACGGAGCACACAAAGCTACTAACATAAAAACAATAGACACTTAGCTCTGATATAGGAGTACTCGCAGTTACTGAAAACCAAATTACAATTAATAGATAAATCGTGTCCTTAAGTATTAATCAGTACCTATCGGACTGATTTAGTGCAAAGACTCCATTCACATTATGGGAACCGCGTGACCATGTGTAAGGTCAAAGCTTAAGTAAACTGTCTCGACAGGATGTATGATCATGCGTTTATATAACTGTACATATAATTCTAGTTATGTTTTATTTTTTTTTCAAAAACCAAATCAATAATCTCTATTATAGAACTGCAAAATGCTGAACTCCATCACACCATATATATTGAGAGGACGAGTTCATATTTTCATGGAGATTGTCTCCTTATTTTTCCTTACTCTTATACCCTTTAAGTTTTTTTCAGTTATACTATAATGTTAATGATGCTATTGATGAATATTATTTTTCACCTATTACCAATGCATCATCCGCTTTCCAGGCACTTTCATAATTCCTCTGGATCGTAAAAATAGTCCAAATGTAAACGTAAACAAAAATATTCGTTAACTATTTAGTATCTGTATCTTGCCAATCATACAATACACATTAAAAGGAGATATCAACCTATGTGTATTTGTAAAAATGTTATATTTGCATATCGTAGATAATATGAAGAGGAAGTAAAAAGTTCATATATGTACAAACTAGGTAAGATTTATTCACGGGTACGAACTACAGATAATGTACACAATTTCGAAAGACGATTAAGCTCCTTACCTCCACGACTCAAAACATCGTATGTATGTGGTAGGTACTTTATTTTCTATTTAAACCTTCTATACTATTGCAATTTTAACCCGAAAAAGGTAATTTATATCAAACAATTTCTAATGATATGTCCTTCTTTCATTCCATTGCATTTTATGTCATGTGTCATATATTGAAGCATTTTTTAACTTTTGTGTATCTAGCACAAACATACCCGCTAAGTAAGGGAAAAGAAAGCAGTATTAATGTATCGGCGATAATATTCGATACTGGTCTCTCAGCATATATCACATATATAGAAAAAATCAGAAGTATTTGAAAATTAAAAAAACATCGTTTCGAACGTTTATTTAACTTAGTTTTGATCAGGTAATTTAACTTTAAATGTGTTTTTATATATAAGAGGTACACATTAGTCGGTTTATTTACAAAGTGATTTTTTTAATATTCAATATGCCAATGTTACTCGATCACTGTGGTTGAATAGTATTGATCGATTGTTCATTCAGCGCGTCGGCTTTCTGCACAGTTATGTTTTTAATTTGACATTTTAATTTTTTTTGTTATTTGTTCATATTGATGTTTTAATGGTAAAGCTAATAAAGATCAACAGAGTTTCGAGATAGTTAAAGAAACTAGTAAGTTTATTAAAATGATCGACTATTGTCCTGGATTATAGCATGGTATTGGTTGCAAAAATTTGATATTTTGCATTTAAATGCAATATTTCTTATTTAATTGGTATATTTCTTCATTTAAATGCAATATTTTTTTTATTTGAATGGTATATTTTTTCATTTAAATGCAATATTTTTTATTCAGATGGTATAATTTTTCATTCAAATGGTATAATTTTTCATTCAAATGGTATAATTGTTGTTCAAATGCAATATTTTTTATTCAATTGGTATAAAATGTCATTTGAATGCAGTATTTTTTATTCAATTGGTATAGTAGTTTTTTTTATTTATATGCAATAATTGCATTATGGGAAATTCTTTGACGTCATAAGGTCAAATTTGCAACAACGTTTGTGATTGGTCGGTATTTGTTTGGATTTCTCCCCTTTCTTTCCAAACTTGAGTGATCAAGAATTAAAAAACGCGTCAGAATATCGCCCCTCTAACTAAATTTGGCGTTCGTGCGAGTTCGTGCACTGGCTGTTAATGCCAATAATGGCCAGGACGAGCAAAAAATGCGAGTGACAAGTAATCATAATTAATTTGACACACAACTTGTTCATGGATAGAAATAGATGCCTGCGTGCATGGCAAAAACACCTCCAATGAAAACCTTTTCCGAAGAAACTCTCCTACAGTCTACACATTGAAATAAAAAAAAAATACATAGCTAGCCCCCCTCCCCCTTCTAAGTCCAGATACATGTAATCATGACGTTCTTTAGTGCTATATCATTTTTTACTTTTCTTGATCCTCAGAGACGTTGCAGGAAGGCACACATGAAAAAATTATAATAAAAAGCATCCAGGACGTTACAATTATTTGGACTAAGCCCCTTTTTTTTACTACATGTAGAAAAAAAATCACATAATTACGACAGCAGAACCAGAAACCCACAAGTAGAGACATAAGCTGTTATACTCCGGAACTAATTCTTTAATAAAGACAATTCAGGATAAATTGGAACCAGTTACTAACCCATGTTACAACAATAGTCCTATGACATAGGACTTCACTATATGAGGCGTGAACTTCATATTTAATACTATCTATAATATGTGCTCTCATGTCTTATGCTGCAAATCATTTTACATTTAGGATTCGTTGCTGAGCATTTTTTTACTGTTCTCGTCTCCGAATCCCTAAAATAGATTTTTTTTCAAGCCCCACAGTAGTTCAATAATTACTATATGTCTTTGCATAAATAAGTATGCAGGGCATATTTCAAAACATATTTTATCTCCAGGACTTTTAAATGATTTACTTTTCAATACTGCATTGGGAAGGGGGGTATACAAGTTTATTTTGTGACACATTATATAATATAATTAGGTATCCAACAAATTATATGATTGTACGTTTAGCTATTATCTAGACCCGTACAAAATGTATATAATTAGACACATTTAACAGGGGCGGATCCAAAACCTCGGTGTCTAGAAGGGGGGGGGGTGGGGGGGGGGGGAGTAGGTTCAAATTTAGATATTTGTATAGAGATGTATATATGCGAGTATTGGCAGTAATGGTTATGGTGTGTGTGTGAGGGTAGGGGTTTCAGATCAAAGATCGTTTCTATAATTCTATATATTTTAGTTTTTACTATTTCACTCTATTCTTTATCCTTTGATCTCTATTATATTTGTCCTAAACATGCGTGACATACTTGCCACTGGACATAAGGCAACCAAAAGTCAATCAACGTAATCTGTATATTTCATCATTTCTTTATTATGTTATCTATAGGTTTGGTCCCGCCCCTTTTTTACTTTTTTGCACATTAGGGACGACATCAAAAGTTCAATGTAGGATAAAAATAAACTTAATTCATATAGTTTTTTTCACTGACCCCCTACCCCCCCCCCCCCCCCCCCACCCCCACCCCCCTCTTAACTTAATTTGGGAAAAATTGATTGACCAATAAGGATATATATAAAATCGATGTTAATTAAACAAAACTTGCAGATATATTAGAATGTTAACTGTTTTATAAACGTTTTTATGGTATGACAGCCTTAGTAGTACATCCCTGTAGGACGATAAGCTGGATAAGTATAAGAACTACACGGACAATAACAGTTAAGGGACGATTATTTGATATTCTAGGGAAGGGATTTTGATTGATTGGTGTTTAACGCTACTTTCAACACTATTGGGCTATTCCGTGGTGGTCAGTTTAAATTTATAGATGAAGGATGGGGAAGGGAAGAGAGGGAATTATTACTCATTTCAATCTGTCGCTAATCATACCTATTTTTCAGCTCTTACCAGGCAACCATATTCATATATGAAATCCTTCTGTCCCCCACCCCAACAAATAAATCAATATCAAATGGTTTTCCTCTTATTTAACACAAGTTTAAATTGATTGATTGTTTGTTGCTAATGTTAACGCCCAGTGAAAATTATTTCATGCTTGTTCAGGAAAACAAGAGTTTAGAAGTCACGTATATAATATAAAAATGAAGATGGAATATGATTGCTAATAAGGCAACTATCCACCGGAGTTCAAATATGAAGTGGATGTAAGCAATTATAGATAAGATAAGATAAGATAAGATAAGAAAAAATTATTTAAAGACGGGTTACTAGCCTGGGGTCCTGGCTAATCTTGTCAGTATAGCCAGGCGGGTATCAATATACTGCCTGTCAATGATTGGTTAATGCTAATTTTGTCGCGCAATGCACACTGGTAAAGCTAAATATGACAACTACAAAAAGTTTTCCCTTTTCAACAGATTATATTGTAAATATAAAAACGATGTGTGCAGGTGCAAAGATACATGTACATCTATTTTCATTTATTATTACATTAGACAACTACAATATTTATTAAATTTTTTTTTTTATTATTATTAAAGAGTTGTTTCGTTGACTCTTATCCCATATAATCCTTCCTGATAAAATATATATTAAATCATTTTAATGTACAACATTTTTCAAAGTATATTAAGTTGTTTTTGATTACACGTACTAGAAGTTATTTTATTTTATTAAATTACTGACATTGGGGACTGGTCAACCTGAAAGCAAAATTTATTGAATCAGAAGCAATACACATTATCGCTTTTCCCGCTAGACCCGAGAAATTTTGACGTCATACAACAATCACTTTCCATTGTGGCGTCAGATATTTTCTATTATGACGTCAAAATTTTACGGGAACTTTTGTGATGTCCAGTAATGGCGGACAAATAGCGATAAGGTGTATGATTCCTAAACTTTTGTTTGAAATCGCTTGTTTACATCAAACATCAAAATTTACGCATATATTTATTCAGCCTCACTTTAGATTCAACTGGCACTGAATCGATCACGTGGTATTTGTTCCCCACCTGGCCCTTGCGACGCGCAGCTAGATCGGACCGGGATGCCAGGCTAGTCGGGTTACATGAAATACTACAAACATAAGCTCTGTAGAGCTTTTTGCCGTCATGTAGACAATCGTAAGGCCTTCAACAATGACAAAAACCTGATACTGTAAAGTCGTCTATAAAAGGCCCGACATGAAAAGTGTGAACAATTCAAACGAAAAAACAAACTGCCTTATTACACATAACAAAAAAATTTACAAAATATCAAATATGAGTCGAGAGAGGAACCAACGACAACCACTAAACTACAGGCTCCATCCCTGGGACAGAATAAAGAATATGGCAGGGTGGATATAAAAACAAAGATGTGGTATGATTGCAAATGAGACAACTCTCCACAAGAGATCAAATGACACAGAAATCAAAAGCTATAAGTCACCGTACGGCCTTCGACAATAAGCAAAGCCTACACCGCATAGTCAGCTATAGAAGGCCCCGAAATCAAAAATGTAAAACAATTCAATCGAGAAAACTAACGGCCGAATTAATGTACAAAAAAACGAACGAAACACATATATGTATAACAAAGCAACAAACGGCAACCACTGAATTACAGGCTCCTGACTTGGGACAAGCACATACATACAGAATGTGGCGGGGTTAAACATGTTAGCGAGATCCCAATCCTCCCCCTAATCTGGGACAGCGGTGTAACAGTACAACAACATGTTTGTGAGCAACCCATCCCGAAGCTAGGATAGTGGTGTAACAGTACAATAAAATAACAACCTGCACAAATCAGCAAATTAACTCAAAAGATCGGTACGAGACACACAAAAAAACTAACATTAAGACAATAGACACAAAGCACCGACATATGAGTATTTGCAATAACTGGAAGTTTGCTCAAACCTAATTACAACTGGTACTGAAATAAATTTTGTTCTCCCAGACTGAGTTATCAATCAGTACACAACGCGCGGCAAAGGATTTATTAAAAAAAGAAAACAGTCTGAGAAACGTCTGGTTTACGTTGTATATAGATATAAGAAGATGTGGTATGAGTGCTGATGAGATAACTCTCCATCCAAGTCATAATTTGTAAATGTAAACCATTAAAGGTCAACGTACGGTCTTCAACACGGAGCCTTGGCTCAAACCGAACAGCAAGCTATAAAGGGCCCCCAAAAAATTAGTAGTGTAAAACCATTCAAACGGGAAAACCAACGGTGTCTTATCTATTTAAAACTTGCATATAAATCCATATACAATGAAACGGTTTTTGAAAAGTGGACCGAACGTTTTGACCATCGAAATTTTGCAATAGAAATACTAGTTATGACCACAAGATTTTAACAGCCAGTGCAGGACTCGCACGAACGTTAGATTTAGTTAAGAGGGGCGATATTCTGACGCATTTTTTAATTCTTGGTCACCCATGTTTAGAAAGAAAGGGAAGAAATCCAAACAATTTCCGACCAATCACAAACGTTGTTGCAAATTTGACCTTATGACGTCAAAGAATTTCCCATAAAGCAATGATTGCATATAAATAAAAAACTACTCTACCAATTGAATAAAAAATATTGCATTCAAATGACATTTTATACCAATTGAATAAAAACTATTGCGTTTGAATGAAAATTATACCATTTGAATGAAAAATTATACCATTTGAATGAAGAAATATACCAATTAAATAAGAAATATTGCATTTAAATGAAAAATATCAAATTTTTGCAACCAATACTATGCCATACTGGATCATTAGAATAAATTAGTTTATAATCTATTTTGATGATCTAATCAACGAAAACGGCCAGTGAAAATACCATACTGAGACAGTTAAAATTAAAACACAATTGGATAGCAGAATTATCAATACAATATATAAAATTTGAATATATGTCCTCATATAAAATAACTCTGTCAAAGACCAAGTTAATATTAATAAAAGGTTAATTTTATCAGAATAAATAATGAAATAGATCAACTTATCAGATTTTGAAATTTCAATCATTTATCAATATCTTATAAATAACAACAACATTGGAATAACAAAATGGATGAGATAATCAGATGTTACACTATTACACATAAGACAAATATGTAGCTTGAGGTGTAATTCTACTTATTCGGGCCCAGTCCAAAACGTAGTACATATTTGGAATAATAAAGTTCCTACGCATAGGTGTAACTTTCAAAATATGTGGAATGTTTTGGTAATTGTGGTATCAAATGAAAGCTGCATGATTGATGATCATTGTAGAACACTTTTTGGCTGATAATTTTGAATAAGAAAAAAGGTTGTAATAAATTTAAAAAAGAAGGGTACATTTTGCCTGTTTTTCAGATAGGAAGTACCTTTTTCGGTATTTCCCAAGTTCCGGGACCCAGTACTCTCTTATATGCAATTCAAGGTTTGTTCAGTACAAGACACCATAAGGTGTTGCTTTGACCTGTTATGACTGTCACTGTATTTGAACTTAAATTAAAAGAGCTGTGACTGTTTGAAATTGAGAAATTTGACATAGAAAACAATGGGGTGGTGAATTAGTGTTGTTCATCTTTTATATTCAAGGAATTATATAAAAATAAAGTTCAAGTATATAAATGCAAATAGTTATGTTACATATTATCAAACTATAAAAATATTTTGAAATGACCCCAGAGTGTGCTTTATGTTACTGCATGATGCACATTTGTCAAAGATTTCTGGAATGAAATGCTATAAAGTCATTAATAATTGGAACATTACCATGAAAGACAATGTCTATGAACACAAGATTGGAGACCGAGATCATACTGACATAAATTTTAACATATCCTTGATAAGATTCTCAATGTTCGAATCCGTACATTTACATATCAAAACCATGAACATAATCTAACACATATACAAATGTTGATTCTAAAATAGACGAAACGCCCGTCTGGCCTACCAAATCATATGCCTTGTTTCTTTGATGAGTTTTTTAGATTGATGCCACTGATGTGGACGTTGCAACAAGCCTTGGAGTCAGCACATTTGTGTTGACATTTAAATGTCATTTATATATCAATATTCTGTAAATCAGCTGTTTATTAATTCAATATGTAGTGATTTGATACAGAATGGCTTTTCGAAGCCAAAACATAGATTGCCCTAGCCGTATATAGCAGAAATATTCAAAATTGTTGGCTTTCGATTCTGTTTAACTTTGTATTTGACTTGGCCTTCCGAATGCTTTGATTCTAGTGCAACTGATTACGCTTGGATATGTAGACTTAACGCGCGTTGAAATTATAAGCCTGTACCTTTTTTATCATTGTCATCAATCAGAATCTATTATAAAACTTTGAAAATCATTTTAGATTAAGTAACGTATCTCTTTCTCCTGATTTATTTTAATCTCATCAGCTCTTCAACAGTCAGGAGGATTACTTCAACAAATAACATTTAAAATTACCTATACAAGTTATAATGAAAACGGGGCTATTTTAAAAATTACTTATATAATATTGTTTTTATAGGTGTCCATTCATACAGATTTTACCAGCTTTAACGAATGTTCAAAGACATCTAGTTATTTTTCCCATGCAATATAAGGACTAATCCTCCTGGAACACTAATTGTCGCCTTTCATATCGACGGTTCTGGGTCAAAGATTTGTCTTTTGGGACTATCAAAATAGCATTTTCCTTTAAAATCTTAAAGGTAGACAAATATAAATAGATGGATACTGTTAAGACTTGAGGTTATTTATAATTTGAAACCCAAAACAATTACATATGTTCCTTAAATAATTGTAATTACTAATTCTTTCAAAGATGTATAAAACAACTAATACAAGTACTATTTTTGTCATTATTTTTAAGGTAACCTTACGATAAATAATTTTCACTTTGTGATGTTACACTTTTGTTCTCCTACTAGGAACAACAAAATTATTTATTTTGTAAAAATTATTTCCGTACTCCATGTATACCTTACAACAAAATTATTTTTATTTACCTGTGTACGTTATTTTATTTGGCGGCATTTTGTCCAAAATTATTGTTGTCTTTCTGATATTGTTCTACATCTAACCCCTTTGTTTTATTAATTTTGTATTTACATTGTGTCATAGATCTAATTTATTCGTTCAGTGTATGTTCCCTTGTTTTTATCAATATGTCTTTTGATCGAGTTAAGCCATTTCAATTGATATTTTATAGTGTCTTTTTCTATGTTGTGATGTTACACTATTGTTTCAGGTAGGGTAAAGGTTGGCGCCTATTAAAATGTTTAAACCCGCTGCATTTGTTTGCACCTGTCCGAAGTCAGGAACCTGATGTTCAGTGGTTGTCGTTTGTTGATGTGGTTCATAATTGTTTCTCGTTTATCGTTTTTTATATAGAATAGACCGTTGGTTTTCCTGTTTGAATGGTTTTACACTAGTCATTTTTGGGGCCCTTTATAGCTTGCTGTTCGGTGTGAGCTAAGGCTCCGTGTTGAAGGCCGTACTTTGACCTATAATGGTTTACTTTTACAAATGGTGACTTTGATGGAGAGTTGTTTCATTGGCACTCATACCACATCTTTTTATATCTATTTAAGAAAAATTTATAGATTTGAAATATGAGATTTGATGATTCTATAAGAACGTTTCTCGCCGTTTCTATGTGATTTCTATAAAAAATGTTTACCTATTTTGAAAGAATTAAATCAGTAATATTTCGTAAAATAAAAGAGACGAATGCTTTTTTTCGATTTACAGTTATAGTTCAATTAAAAGAAGTTGTATGCCAAATTTTACCAAAATCTGTGACATAGCCCATTTACTGTTCCTTGACCTTAAGCCATAATTTGCTGTTAATCTTATTGATTTATGATTCACATCAATATCGTTCAGTGTGTTATCAAATGAGCTCATAATATATCGAATAGTGATGGAAAATAACTGCATAAAAACTGTTGTGACTCACTTTGTCCATTTACGTCGATTGGCTATTACAGAATGTATCGTCATACTTTAACGATTCGTTTTTTTTTATTATGATCAAATGATAACACTTTTGTAACGTTTAACTTCATTGATAAATCCCTGTTGTAACAAAAAAAATCTTTTGCCTATGTTTTAACTTTTATGTGAAAGAATATGAAATATATGGTTGATATTTAAAATGTTCTTCATTTCATTTTAGAATAATGGAGAAACCGGTTTGTAAAAGCGAATGTAATGACAATGGAGATTGTAGTGACGACGATGCGAATAAAGGATCTGACGACGCAGTGAATGTTGTAAAATCTCTAAAACATACCCCTGAAATACACACAGCTCTGCCTAATAAAATAAATTACATATGTATTGGTACTATGGTATCTGTTGTTGGCATTGTGTTAACGGTAGTTGTGTCTGTAACAATGCTTGTCGTCATCTCAACTGGTAAGTCATTATACTATGTGTGTGTGTGTGTGTGTGTGTGTGTGGATGGGGTTGGGGGCGTTTGGATTTATATTCCGAAACATAAAGCACTACGTTTACGAGTTCCATTTATCTATTATTGATAGGTGAACAACTGGATATTTTGACTCCTTAACTACCTCTGTCCACTGTGTTACCCTTGATTACGAGCGTTTTACAACAATGATTCATACAAACGCAGCAATATCAAACAAGAAATGCGGAACATTGAATTCATGTGATAACATGTAACCTTTTTATCAATTTATGAGAATACTTTGTAGTTTGCACGTAAAAAATCCGTTCTTCAAACAAAATTGTCGACAATTTTTTTATGGAATCCATTTACTTCGTTTTTTTTTTGTAGCTTCATTGTAATATGGTGTGACGTGTAAATTCTTTCATGATCTGTCATATTGTTTCTTTTCTATTTGCCAATACTTTAAATATATCAATATGTTGAATAGTTTTTTTACCGTCACACATTTGTTTCGTACGAATTGAAAAAATGCTGTTAATTTTTTAACCTTAGCTTTACAAAGAGGAGTTTTTACGAATTAGCGGTTTTTATATATTTTTAGTACCTACCTCTTATTGGCGATTCTTTGAAATTTTAACACGTTGAAACAAAAAATTATTCTCCATCACACAGTTTCTCCAGGACTACTTAACAGAGGGATTTTATATTTGGTCATCAGTTTCAACATGATGAGTTGTTACTAGTGGTTGATATGCCATCTTGGAATAATACTATCTAAAATTAAATTATCTGATTTTTTTTGGTTTTTTTAATAAACTCAGAAACATGTCCATCACCGTAAATGTGTCCATATGACGTCACTGAACTTCTTAACATTTCTAATTGCTTAAAGGCGCTTAAAACGTGTCCTGTTTAAGGACGCCCAATCCTGTCTTTATTAAAAAAAAACTGTGAAAATGTGTTATAAATCAGTGATTCGTTATCACAAATCCTTTAGAGAAAAAAAACTCCAGTCGAACTTCATGAAGTGTCTTTTGTTTATTATATTAAATTCAAAAATGTGTTCCTCCGGTAAATCTTATTAAAGTCACTACCTACTATTACTACAGCAAATGCGCATTTCGACAATAAATGTATCTTTAGTGGTGTTCGAGGCAAAAGTAGTAGTATATAAGCACACATAAATTGTCTCAATAAATATTGATTTCAACTTAACAAAAATAAAATAAAACATTATGAACCAACTGTATGGAGTCTTCATGGAGTTGAAAAATACAGAATAGAGAATAATGGGTGCTAAAATATAAACAATAGAGAATACAGGTAAATAAAATGAAAAAAAAAATTGAAAAAAATTACATAAAAACTGAAAGATACAGAATTGAAGGACCCCGTTCATATAGCCTTCTGTATGACTAATACCTAATGTAAAATATTTTTGTTCATATTTAATTTTTTTATTCGTCATCAATATGGATGAAATATTTGCATGTGTGACCAACATAAAGATTTTCAGTGGATTCCTTATAAAAAACAATTTGTTTTTTATCATCCTTCAGTCTATGACTCTTCTGACTATCTCTGCAATTTAAACGTGGTCACAATGTTTTATTTTCTTCTTTTAAATAACCTCATCATAGATACCAGTAACTCTTTTTATATATCAAGGAATTGTCCCTTAAATACCTATGCATTGATGTCATTGAATATTGGTTTTCATACTTTTTTGTCTTTAGACCCCCGTAGAAACCCGATTTCATCATTGAATTTCCCTAAAGACGTAACTGTCATCACAGAGGGCATATTAGCATTAAAAGTATTGGCGTCTTAAAGTGGACATGTTTCGGCGGATAACAATTGTCGGACACGTTTGTGAGTGTAAAAGTTCGGACACATGTGAGCGAAGTAAATAACCAGACACGTTTAGGGGATGTGAAATTGGTCACATTTGGGCGATTTATTATTGTAAGGACACGTTGGGATAAAATGGACACGTCTGGGGGGATTGGACATGTTTGGGAGATAGAAACGTTTATAGGTGTTATATGTCTTAACTAACTAATGACATTTTTACAACATCTTAGATTGTGGTTTAACATCTATGTCGTCTGTCTGCTAAATACCGAGCGTGACCTATTCCCAAATGTGACTGTTATACCGAGTGTGAATTTGCTTTGCTATCCGACGTGTCTCGGTATTTTGTACATCCAACATTCATGTATTTACTTTTGATGTTTCTGTTACAGTTTCTGTTGGATAATGTGTTATATCTTATCGTTTGTAGTCCAAATAATTATAAACTAGCCTTTCAATACCATCATTGTCGTGAAAATTATTTGGACTGGTATTGCGAAAATAATTGTATAAAGTTCGAGATTGCATTACATAAGTGCGTCACTGTTTGTGATGTCTTGTGGTGTCTGTCGTTGACGAAAGATGTTCGTTGTTGATCTGCGGTTTCATGTTGTGTCGACTATTATATTATTTGTTTGTGCGTTTCTCTGTGATAGGTGTTCTTTCGTGTGTTTGTGCTGTATTTCTGTCACGTAGTGTTGTCATTTTAGCGATATTTTTTAACATTGTCATATAAGCGGGAGGTTTAGCTAGCCATAAAACCAGGTTCAACCCACCATTTTTTTCTTAAAATGTCCTGTACCAAGTCAGGAATATGACAGTTGTTATCAAATAGTTCGTTTCTATGTATGTTGGCGTTTGTTTTTGTTGCACTTCAGTGTTCATGTTGTTCATTTGTTTTCCTTTTATAGTTGATGTGTTTCCCTCGTTTTTAGTTTGTAACCCGGATTAATTTTCTCAATCGATTTATGACTTTTGAACACCGGTATACTACTGTTGCCTTTATTGATATATATGTAAAATGATAACTTAACTGAATACAAGTTTAATAGTTATGAAGATTGAAACTTAGATTAGGTAATACATAGGATTTTATATTGACACTCAGAGTTAAGATTATAAACTAAAGGGCAGTATACATCTGATGTTCCTATCTCGTAAATCGATTAGGAATACACAAATCAAGGTAACAAACTAAAACCGAGAAAACCGCATGAACTTCAAAAGGAGCGAGGAGCGTTGATAGGGTAAGCGTCTCCTGCAATACATGCTTCACCCGCCATACTATTTCATACTCAGTCAAGGCGTCATAATCAGTACAATTACAGATCAGACGATTATACTGGTATCTAAACATATAAGACCACGAAAACATGTCGCTAGTGAGTCGAGACACCAACACATCGTAGGTTATATGAGATGTTAGCAATCATTGTAATGTGGGTTATTGAGTGACAGAACATCATCATTATATCTGAAAGTGAAATTGGCAAGATGTCTTTTGTTTCATTTTGTCTTTCAGAAGTTAAGACACAGAGTTAAGATAATAAGTCATCAACATAGTTTGGATTATAGGTCATCAACATAGTTTAGATTATAGGTCATCAACATAGTTTAGATTATAAGTCATAAACAGAGCTTAGAATTAATAAACATTATAGACAAACAGATTATTGCATTGAGGAAGAGAAAATGAAATAAATCTAATTAATTGATCAATTGAATTAAATTATTTAATAAATTGATAAGCATTATATAAATAGGTTAGAATTTTAGACTTTAAAAGTTAGGAAATTGGGGATTTTACTGTTCAAAATTAACAACCAGCGAATTTATATTTATCAGCTTATTTTAATATGTATATATGAATTATTTAATCATTATGAATACAAAAAATACAACATGATAATTATTAATCAATACTTGAATTCAAACGAAAACAATAGTCATATGAATTTTTTATATTTCGTAGAGACCATGCTCGATGGGTTTTACTAATTGGTTGTGACGTATAAAACGAACTCTCGAAACTCAACAGAGAAAATCATACATTTTTCACTACGTAGTATATAGTATATATTCAAACATTTAATATTATACGTATCAAGACTTTACAGACAAAGTTAAGATTGTTATGACTGAACAATGTTAAGTTGGAACTGACTGAATGTCATGTCTGAAAAAATGTCAAGTTACAAAGTTGATGATAATATTGACTTATTACTTTTTGGAAACATAGAATTTTCGTATGATATAAATATTGCTATTTTCAAATCTTTTCAGAAATATATCAGCGACACTCATCGTTTTGTTTGAAATCTTTTTAATTTTTTATCTACTTATTTAGTGTTTATTGTTTTCATTTCTTTCATTCTTTCCAACATCATTTCATTTCTTTCCACTTAGTAAGCTTAGTGTCTCTTCCATGTCTCTTCCAAACCTTATAGATATATTTCTAAAGACTGTTAAGGATATTTACTTAACTAAATGATGATTAATTGCCTACACACTTAAATATACTATACATTTAGTAATTAACACTAAATATGTATTTGTTTGTGTGTGCTAATAAGTAGCATGCATTTTCCACTATCTTATATTATTTTAAATACAGTTGTTAATATTTGATTTATTCCTTGTACATGTAATATGGAGAGCGCTTTTATAGGCTGTGTGTGCTGCCCAATCCTTTTTATATATCAATGAATAAAATATGTTTAAAATCAAATAAAACATTGAATATATCTGAATGTATGTGAACTTCGTAAGACGTTTTTTTCATTGAGGAGTTTATGTATGAATTACAGATATTCCAGTATTTTGACATGTGGTGGTGTTAATGCGTTTTAAAACTTTGTCCTCCAATCATCTCAATTATTCGAGTTCAAAAGAAAGGAAAATTCACATTGGCAATCATACCACATCTTCTTATATATATAAAGACGTATAAGAACCGAAACAGCTGAAGAGCTGTATGACCAAAAAGGATCTACAACAAAAGCTATATCCATCTAAGGTCAACTTTGTTTTGGGGAGTTCGAACCTTAGTTTCTTAATGATTTATCAATTTATGAACGGAAAATTTAGAAAATCTACGATATAAATGAGGTGATGATACCCTCGGGGACTGATAATCCGCTAGCAGCGGTATCAGCCAAGTGCTATAAAAAGGGTAATGAATTAACATACATTAAAAATCCGTTCATGAACTAAACGGTACAGTACCTGTATAAATGGAAAGAAATCACGAGTGAAGACTAGTTCGAATCAAAAATGCTTGCAATTACTAAAAGTTGGCTCAAAGATATTTACCTGTCTAAATTAAATCATGCCGTCTTACGCTGTTATTTCGTCGGTTGCAGATCACATACAACAACGGCATAAAAAGACAAGGTAGACATGATCTTTAATACCCAGTCTTAGTAGCATAAACTGTGAATGCAGGAAAACCGACAAAAAACCAAAAGTTTTGTATCAAAATGTAATTTAGCGAAACAAATCAATAAGCGTAATGTTATTTTTAATAATCAATTTTATTTCTGTTTTTTTTCGAAACAATTCGAATATAATCTATAATAATAGTATCTTATACTTGTCTCTTTTTCAACAAATATAAATGTACATAAATTACCTTTCTATATTAAATTACATAGCATTAAAACTTTGTATTGATAAGTTAAGGTCAAATATTCAAGGTTTTTTCGTTTATATTAGCGTAAGACTCTGTTCTTATGTATGTTTATTACCAACATAGAAACTTTGAAATATCCTTTATCTTTTTAGACGACAAACAGAATGGTTTTCAATTATCAAATGCTATTCTAAAAATATCGAATCAGTTAGACAATTTATCAATAAAAATGAAGAGTGATAGTTCAACAACAGATGAACCACAAACATGTGAAAACATTAACACTAGTTATCTTTACTATGTTATGCAAGAAGAGAACAAAAGACTGAAAGCCGAACTTCAAAAAACAAAATTTAGAAAAGGTAAGATATGTGTACTTTTTGTTGTTTACATATGAATATTAATAATGAATTTTAGAATTTCCGACTTTGTTTCCATTTCCAGAAAAAATAAAATAAAAAATGTTGTTTGCAGAAGAGTGTCTATCAACCATATAATTTGATATAATTTCCATCAAAAAGAGACATTGTTGGTTACCTCTTCTCGTTGGCTACAGAACCTGACAACACACAAGGTCATGTTTTTCTCTGACTGTTTATGACGTCTTTACACTAAATCCATTGGATGTTGGTTGTGTACTGATTGATAATTAACTTTTAGATGCATGACTTTTTTTCTTAGTTGTTATTGGCTTTTAACTAGCTGTCAGTAACTGCGAGTACTCTCAGATCTGTACTTTGTGTCTTTTTGTCTTTTTGTTGGTTGGATGTACAAGTACCCGTCCATGTCCACTCTGAGTTTTTGTTAGATGTATTTCTATTTGTACCCATCTGATGAGTTAAGCCTTTTTCAACTGATTTTTATAGTTTGTTCTTATGTTGTACTGTTACACCACTGTCCCAGATTAGGGGGAGGGTTGGCGCCTTCAAACTAGTATTACCACGACACGTTCTGTATGTGCCTGTCCCAAGTCAGGAGCCTGTAATTCAGTGGTTGTCGTTTGTTGCTGTGTAACATATTTGTTTTTCGTTTATTATTTTGTAAATAAATTAGGCCGTTAGTTTTCTCGTTTAAATTATTTTACATTTGTCATTTCGGGGCCTTGTATAGCTGACTATTTGGTATTGTTTTTGCTCATTGTTAAAGGTCGTACGGTGACCTATAGTTGTTAATATCTGTGTCATTTGGTCTCTTGTTGAGAGTTGTCTCATTGGCAATCATGCCACATCTTCTTTTTTATATGTACATAGTTAACCTTTCTAGATTAAATTACATAGCATTAAAACTTTGTATTGATACGTTGAGGTCAAAAATTTCAAGGTTTCTTCGTTTATATATGTGTATGTATGTTAATTAACAGCATACAAACTTTGAAATATCCTTTTATCTTTATAGACGACAAACAGAATGGTTTTCAATTATCAAATGCTATTCTAAAAATGTCGAACCAGTTAGACAGTTTATCAATAAAATTGAAGAGTGATAGTTCAACAGATGGACCACAAACATGTGAAAACATTAACACTAGTTATCTTTACTATGTTATGCAAGAAGAGAACAAAAGACTGAAAGCCGAACTTCAAAAAACAAAATTTAGAAAAGGTAAGATATGTTTACGTTTTGTTGTTTACATATGAATATTAATATTGAATATTAAAATTACCTTCTTTGTTTCCAATTCCAGAAAAAATAGAAGAGAAAAAATGTTATTTGCAGAAGAGTGTCTATCAACCATATAATTTGGTGCAAACCCGATGGTTACAATTTCCATCGAAAAGAAACATTGTTGGTTACCTCTTCTTGTTGACTACAGAACTTGACATCGATATGATACGGACTACAATCAACAATGACTTGATACATTTTTCAGCCACAAAAGTGTCTTTATGGTTTCGGAAAATACCTTTCTTCTAAAAACATACGTAGAAATTATGTCGTCTTGGATTCTGTCGGGTATGCAATGAATAAACAAAAAGGATTCTTTGTAATTTCCTATTACATAATGAACAATTAACCGGAAACAAATATTGTGAGTTCACGAGGTATTTGTTCGTAAATCAGCTATTCTATACACTCTTAACAGTGAAAACAAGACCAATATCTTCTGTAAACAAATAGCTTTTTAATTCATAGATATATTGCAGAAATCAAAATTCTATCTGAAAGTTTTTCATTTAATCCAAAGGTAGAGTCAAAATAGCAGAAACCTCCAAAACTCCAAAGCAGTTTATGTGTATGGGAAACCCCTAATAATGAAGTCCATTGATTTTCATCATTCAAACGTTAAACGTATTAACTGAGATATGTACACGCTATACGACGAACTGCTGAAAAAATGAGTAGTTGACAATTGGTAATTTGAATTCATCACGTTTGTCATAGATACTTGTTTAAAGTCGTTCATCTGTGTCAATATCGAGGAAAAGATCAAGGTATGAAGTAGTCCTTCTGTTTTTGGTTATATCCTTAATCTCAAATTCACTTGGATATGTAAGTTGAAATGTGGGTTATTAAGTGACAGAACATCATAGATATATCTGAAAATGAAATAAAAGAACATGGCAAAATGTTGTTTTATCAGTTGTCTTTTAGATAATCAGAAACAGAGTTCAGATTATAAATCATAAACATTGAAGAAGAAAATAAAATAAATCTAGTTAAATGGTACATCTTATTAATCTACAAACAATGGAAACGCATTATTAAACAAGGTTAGAAGTTGAGACTTTAAAAATGTTTACTATTCAATATTTACAACCACCTATTGGGACTGAACATTTTTCAACTTATTACAATTTTTATATATAAATTGTTTAATCATTATCAATACAAAAAAAAACAATATGATAACTATTATTGTATTGTTGAATTCAAATAAAAACAATAGTCATAAACATGTTGTATATTTGGTAGTGAACAGTCATGCTCTTTGGATTTGGTAATTGGTCTTGACATATGAAATGAACTCTTGAAATTCCTCTCGAGAGAAAAAATATACATATTCTACTATAAAATACTGTAAAATCAGAAATTATTCCGAACATTTATTATTATGGTTTTGAAATGTTCGACTATACTTCAAGGTTAATTATAGCAATTTCTGGAAATGCTGCATACAGATTTATGTTTCAGATATCCAAATGTGAGTTCTTATTCTTGAGATACTCACCCAGTCGCATTATTGGCATTAATGAAAACCTCACAATACATTCTGAATTTACAGTACATTTAGACAGTTCAGAATATACGTATAAAGTCTTTTACAGACAAAATTAAATCTGTTATGACTGAGAAATGTCAATTTGGAAGTGACTGAATGTCAAGTTGAAAGTAACTCAATGTCAAGTTGAAAGTAACTAAATGTCAAATTAAAAGTGACTAAATGACAAGTTGTAACTGCGAAATGTCAGGTTAGAATTGAGAAATATCGAATCGGAACGGAAACATAATTCAGAAAAAAACTCTACCTAATACTGTAAATTCAGAAATCATTATACTGGTTTTGTTAATGCGAAAAATTCGACGCTATCAGGTTCGCAATTATTAATACTTTCACTCATAATTTCACGTTCACCAAGTTTTTGAAGTCGCATTAATAAGATCTCTCATTTTTACCAGTTATCAGTGATTCGAAATAATAAATACACGCATTAATTTTTGAATTTACAGTTTTTTTCGACTAATTTTTCAATAGTGAGGGACAATTGTGGGAAACTCTATTCCAATGAATAAGTAAAATTGCAATTCGTTTACCAATATTCACTGTTTACATGCTCATGCTGGCTGGGAGCCCTATTTTGAAAGAATGTAAGATAGTTGTTGTATAGGCAATCATATCACATCTTCTTTTTGTATACATTGAATGTGTTAGATCCTAATTTGAATTCGTCAATCCGTTCAATATCAAGAACTAGATTCTAACGTGAAGCAGTCTTTCTTGTTTCTGTAGTATGTTTAATGACAACTGTGAAATATCAGATACAGACACTTACTAATATCATAAACGGTACCAATTTTAATGCACCAGATGAGCATTTCGATAGTATATAACTCTTCAGTGATTAGACCAACATTATTTGAAAGTCCAAAGCCTAATGCAAACGCTGAAGAGCTGATAAAACCACAATAGACCAAAAGTAAAATCCCAGTTCGAGCCGAGACGAATAGTCAGAGCTATGTATGAGGGAGATACATTTCTTAATTTAAAATGGTTATGAAATTTTATAACAGCAAATTTGAGTCAAACAATATCAGTTTTCTCATGCAATCAACGAAGTACTGGCTACTGGGATGTTGATACCGTCATGAAGTAACGGTCCATCAGCTGAACTTGTGTTATTCAGTGACATAACATTATCGTTATATCTTAAATTTTAAGAACTTCGTAAGGTGTTTATGTCTGTGAGAGGTTTCTGTATGAATGGCATATATTCCTGCTTTTTTGTCTAAAGAGCCGAATGTACCGCTGGAAGCGCTAACAATGTAGTTTTTTACCTATTATGTCTGCTTGTTTTGTTCACACATTGTTGTCAATATAATGGAACTGTATGCAAATGTCATACAAGTGAGAGGTTTAGCTAGCTATAAAACCAGGTTTAATCCACTATTTTCGTGAAATGTACATGATAACGTCTTTGTGCTTACATTTAATTCATCTGATAAGAACTTTCTTGAATTAAAGTAGAAGTTATCTTAGGGCAATATTTTACAGAAAAGTGTCTATTAGTTATATAATTTTGGAATCAGGAAGACTTTTGCTATCAGTGGTAACAATGTTCCCCTTAAAGGCATTTGCACGTCCCTTCCTGTTGGGAAAAATACCCATATATTGTAAGAGTCATTTGAGCATGACCTATCGTCCTGTATTAATGTCAACCAAATAAAGCACTTTCGGTTTTTGAAATGTTCTTCCTGTTTAGAAAAGTAAATAACATTCATAAAATTAGAAACTCAATTTGGTATCAAAAAGTATAATTTCTCAAGCAAACTATGCATTAAAGTGTAAAATATATATTTGCATGTCATAACATGTAATTTGATGAAGTAAGCGGGACTTATCTCTTTTACAGATTCCATAGAATTTACAGACGCTAATGAGAAACGAATGCAGCGAACAGAGAGACAAGAGCAACTGCGAGTTGATTGTCGATTGGTCTCGAGCACAAACAAACTTTATGGTTGGGTTTTCGGTAATAAAAGTCTAACATTTGGCCGTAGAGATAATTTCAATATCAATATAAAAATAAAATTATTGTATCCTGAAATACCCGATAATGATAAAATATTATTTGAGTTTGGTCTAACAACGACGATTGATTACTTAATATGGGATCGTCAAGGTATAATGTTCAGAGGTCAAAGATGTGTAAAAAAACCAGGCATATGTCTTGATGTAATAGATAACGCACTGTCAAAACTGGAAGGTCCTATTTTTGAACAGATGGCAGATTATATTCAAGGCCAACTAACACTGGAACTTCATAAATCACATTTTGTTCTTATGTGTAACCATAGAAATATATATATATCAAATGTTCTCAATGTTTCATCTGAAGAGAAACTTTGGCCAGTGTTTGGATTTTACAATACACACCTTATTACTATATCACAAACAATTTTTTCCGAGAATAAAATAAGTTTTAACCGAACAACCGTTGACCCACATTTATTTGTTTCTGAAGATAACAATACTATATCGAATTATAAATTGCAGAACAGTTCTGGATGGGATATGAGCATAATGTATCTTGAAATTGCATTTTTAATTATGTCTACAGTGTTTATTTTGCTTGTGATTCTTAAATTTGAAAATAACATCTTAGGTAATATTTTGGTTTCCGCTGCAGTGTTTCTTTCTGTACTGCTTTCAATATATTACATCTACATGAATTGGTCCTTACGCTTGCTTTTGATAGTGAGTATATTACTTGGAACTGTACGTATTGATCTAAGAAATATGAAATTTGAATCAAATATTAAAGACTATACTTTTTTGAGCATTTTATGTTCTACGTACATTATGAGCTTTTTTAAAGCGATCGGATATATCTTTAATTTAATATTCTATTGAAATAAGTTATTGATTTATATCATTATAAACCTTCAAAATCCGATTAATACAATGTACCATGTCAAGATATCTATCAAATATACTGATCTGTCCAAATGTTTGTTTGTATTGTTCTGTAATTTCGCCAGTCATAACAGTATTTTCTTATTTTTGATATTAACATTTCTTTTTACCGTTTTATTCTGTAATTTGTACACAGTGCCCTGTATCAGAATAATTCAATGCACATGTGTTGCGTTTTTGACGTCTAGCAAAGAATTCCGTTAGATTTGTGAATAAGTATTTACAAAAAAAATCCAAGGTAAATTCAAAAAGGGTGAAGTCCTTTAAACATGACAAGACCAAACGCTTGACTATATCAATAAATAGAACGGATGGAAAACAACTGTCAAATTCCTGACTTGGTACAGGCATTTTCAGAAGAAAGTGAAAGTGAATTTCTTGTACTTTCGGCTTTACCCAGCGCACAATGTGGGTTTTTAGAAAAACATTTCATGAACAAATTAATTTCACGCCAAAATGTGCATTGTAAGAGAAGAAAAAATTGAAATGCTAAACAGAAATTCAAAACTAACTTAAATCAACCTTGTCTGAGTGTGTTGCAGTTTTTCTTTAGTACAACTACAAATATTTATTTATCAACCTGAAATTTACTGACAAATTAAATTATTTGAATAAAAGCTATTGGACAGATGTTAACCTCAATGATAGATAGTCCACACACTGCGTTGCTAACCAAGTGGTTGTTAAAATCCATACGGTATAATTTCCTTGTGCACAACATATGCTTATGTAATAACATAACTGAAATATGATGCTGGAAAGGTCTCTACACATATAAAAAAAAATGTTAACCCTCGTAGTTTGTCTTTAGCAATGCAAATTTGATTATAGGTCGATACCTCTGCTGATGTAGTAACAGGATCATGACCCAGGAAATAACAAGCCAATTAGTCAGTACTTAGGGGCCTCTGGCCTTTGTTAGTCCTGTATGTTTGTTTTAATTTTAGTTCCTTTATATGTTTAGTGTGACGTTCATATTCACTGAACCAGTACACAATTTTATTTAGGGGCCAGCTGAGGACCACCTCCGGGTGCGGGATTTTCTTGCTGCGTTGAAGACCCATTGGTAGACTTCGAATGTTATCTGCTCTTTGGTCGGGTTGTTGTCTCTTTGACATATTCCCCATTTCCATTCTCAATTTTATTTGGTACTGATATGATTATACGAATATCATTTTATCGAAAATTTTGAATTATTCTTAATTAATGAATGTTTTTTCCTAAAACATAGCTCTGATTCCTTGTACGGGATCGGCTATAATTTTGGTCCTTTTTTTTTTTGTTTAATCGGCGTTTCTTTTAGGTTATTATTTTTTTAACTAATTTGGTCTCGAGCATCACAGAAGAGACATTTATAATCAAAATGCGTATCTGATTAAGAAAAAATGAACCGTTAGTGTTATAACTACCTACTGGGTCGATACATCTGCTGGTGAACTGTTCGTCCCAATGGTATCACCTGCACAATAGTAATGCGATACGTGCATGTTAATACGGATATTGCTTAATTGAAACTTGCTGTTTAATTTTTTTGACAAAGAACTTTATCCCCATCATGCTTATATCTCATTTCTTCGTCTGGCTTTGGCTAAAAATTTGGTTCTTTTCCTATTTTATTATCGTTCAACATTTATATTATAATTTAGATTTTAGAGTATTTTGGCCTCGAGCATCACTGAAGAGACATTGACAAAATGCGCTTCTTCTTCTTGTTGTTACTACTAAAAAACCAAAACAAAATCTTGTCTCTTGGGAATCCATACACTTGCATGTCTTAAACTGTTGTTATTTCTTTTTCTGCATTGGAGTTCTGTACAAAACAATGGTCGCATATTTACGTAATTGAGAAGGACTTTCTATAGGTAGGCTCGAATGTATATAAAAAGAACTGCGTTGATTGCCAAAAATGTTAGAGTGAAGGAAGGTATGATATGAGCATTTAGCCAATTTTAGTTTGCTTTGATTAAGCGTGAGATATTTCTAATAAGGTTTTGTTTGTTGTTGTTCTTTTTATTCGCGTGGTTGTGTTATCGTATATCGTTATTACCGTAAACATTAGGATAAAGAGATTTTCTGTACTGATTTTTAATGTAAGTTCTATTTTGTAGCTTTTTATACCACTGATAAATAAAAATGGGTGCATTGCATTCATAAAAAAAAACAAGATGAAGCCTATATACTTTTGCCTGCCAAGCTTTCGTAATTGTCTTTTTATCTCCGTGATTTTTGTTATTTTACAAAATCGGTATTTATAACATTTTTTATAGTCTGCGTTTTTTTCTTTAATTCTCGGTTAGGGACGATTAAGTGCTTTCCATATTGATTAGAAACCCAGTCCTCTTAATGTCTTTGGATTTGTTTGTGTATTGTGTTTGCTGTGTACTTGACATTATGTTATTTAGTTCGTACAATGTTTTTGAGTTCTTTTCAATAATATGTAAGTATCATAGCATGTGAAGAAGCGACGAAAAGAAAGCATCGAATCACTCAAACTTGTATGTCTATCCACCTCAGCGAAAAGGTATCTTTATGAATATTATGCAGGCAATGAAAGCATATCTTTTGACATAATCAATCCGTTTAGTATCATTGTCAATTTTCAATTATTTTATCCCAAAATAGCTGATAGTACAATCTTCGGAGTTTTTTTAAACGTAAGTTGTAAAAAAAACAGAAATATGTCTTAATGTAATAGATAATTGGTTATCAAAGGAACCAGGATTATAATTTAATACACCAGACGCGCGTTTCGTCTACACAAGACTCATCAGTGACGCTCAGATCAAAATAGTTATAAAGCCAAACAAGTACAAAGTTGGAGAGCATTGAGGACCCAAAATTCCAAAAAGTTGTGCCAAATACGACTAAGGTAATCTATGCCTCGGATAAGAAAATCCTTAGTTTTCGAAAAATTAATAGTTTTGTAAACAGGAAATTTATAAAAATTACCATATAATTGATATTCATGTCAACACCGAAGTGCTGACCACTGGGCTGGTGATACCCTCGGGGACGAAACGTCCACCAGCAGTGGCATCGACCCAGTGGTGTAAATAGTTATCAAAGGTATCAGGATTATAATTTAATACGCCAGACGCGCGTTTCGACTACATAAGACTCATCAGTGACGCTCAGATCAAAATATTTATAAAGCCAAACAAGTACAAAGTTGAAGAGCATTGAGGACCCACAATTCCAAAAATTTGTGCCAAATACGGCTAAGTTAATCTATGTCTGGGATAAGAAAATCCTTAGTTTTCGAAAAATTCATAGTTTTGTAAACAGGAAATTTATAAAAATGACCATATAATAGATATTCATGTCAACACCGAAGTGCTGACTACTGGGCTGGTGATACCCTCGGGGACGAAACGTCCACCAGCAGTGGCATCAACCCAGTGGTGTAAATAGTTATCAAAGGTACCAGGATTATAATTTAATACGCCAGACGCGCGTTTCGTCTTCATAAGACTCATCAGTGACGCTCTGATCAAAATAGTTATAAAGCCAAACAAGTACAAAGTTGAAGAGCATTGAAGACCCAAAATTCCAAAAAGTTGTGCCAAATACGGCTAAGGTAATCTTTGCCTGGGATAAGAAAATCCTTAGTTTTTGAAAAATTCATAGTTTTGTAAACAGGAAATTTATAAAAATGACCATATAACTGATATTCATGTCAACACCGAAGTGCTGACTACTAAGCTGGTGATACCATCGGGGAAGAAACGTCCACCAGCAGTGGCATCGACCCAGTGGTGTAAATAGTTATCAAAGGTACCAGGATTATAATTTAATACGTTAGACGCGCGTTTCGTCTACATAAGACTCACCAGTGACGCTCAGATCAAAATAGTTATAAAACCAAACAAGTACAAAATCGAAGAGCATTGATGACCCAAAATTCCAAAAAGTTGTGCCAAATACGGCTAAGGTAATCTATGCCTGCGATAGGAAAATCCTTAGGTTTCGAAAAATTCATATTCTTCTAAACAGGAAATTTATAAAAATGACCATATAATTGATATTCATGTCAACACCGATGTGCTGACTACTGGGCTGGTGATACCCTCGGGGGCGAAACGTCCACCAGCTGTGGCATCGACCCAGTGGTGTAAATAGTTATCAAAGGTACCAGGATTATAATTTAATACGCCAGACGCGCGTTTCGTCTTCATAAGACTCATCAGTGACGCTCTGATCAAAATAGTTATAAAGCCAAACACTTACAAAGTTGAAGAGCATTGAAGACCCAAAATTCCAAAAAGTTGTGCCAAATGCGGCTAAGGTAATCTTTGCCTGGGATAAGAAAATCCTTAGTTTTTGAAAAATTCATAGTTTTGTAAACAGGAAATTTATAAAAATGACCATATAATTGATATTCATGTCAACACCGAAGTGCTGACTACTGGGCTGGTGATACCCTCGTCGACGAAACGTCCACCAGTAGTGGCATCGACCCAGTAGTGTAAATAGGTATATAAGGTACCAGGATTATAATTTAGTACGCCAGACGCGCGTTTTGTCTACATAAGACTCAACAGTGACACTCAGATCAAAATAGTTATAAAGCCAAACAAGTACAAAGTTAAAGAGCATTGAAGACCCAAAATTCCAAAATGTTGTGCCAAATGCGGCTAAGGTAATCTATGCCTTGGATAAAAAAATCCTTAGTTTTCGAAAAAAATCATAGTTTTGTAAACAGGAAATTTATCAAAATGACTACATAATTGATATTCATGTCAAGACAGAAGTGCTGACTACTGGGCTGGTGATACCCTCGGGGACGAAACGTCCACCAGCAGTGGCATTGACCCAGTGGTGTAAACAGTTGTCAAAGGTACCAGGATTATCATTTATTAACCCAGACGTGCATTTCTTCTACATAAGTATCATCAGTGACGCTCAGATCAAAATAGTTATAAAGCCAAACAAGTACAAAATTGAAGAGCATTGAGGACCCAAAATTCCAAAAAATTGTGCCAAATACGGCTAAGTTAATCTATGTCTGGGATAAGAAAATCCTTAGTTTTCGAAAAATTCATAGTTTTGTAAACAGGAAATTTATAAAAATGACCATATAATTG